GTGCATGGATAGTTTGCTGGATTTAGCCGGAGACTGCATGGTGCTGGTCAAAGCAAGGCAAGGCAAGTTTATTTGTGTAGCACATTTCAACAACAAGGCAATTCAAAGTGCTTCACATAAAAACATCAAAACATAAGGCAAAAGAAAAGGAGATTTAAAAATAATTAAGAACATTCATTGAAACATTAAAAACAGTCATTAATGTCACATCCGAGGGGCAGATCTGAGACTCAAGCGCAGACACAGACACTGGAGACGAGGTGAAGTTGAAAAATAAGGTTCTTTTACTTTAAAAGTCATAAACAAAAACTGAAAACGACTCCAACGGAGCGGGAAAAAGATCCACAACCACAAAATTAAGGCAAAGGAACAAACCAGGCGCAAACACTGGAGCACCGAGCAAACACCAGGGAGACACAAAACTGGAACTGACAACCAGAACAGTGAAAGCAGGGGAGTATATATGTGTGGGGTGATGAGAAGATTGAAGGCAGCTGGGTGGACTGGGCAGGTGAGTAGGATGAGTGCAATCAGGGGAAATACACACACACACAGAGACAGAGACAGAGACACAGGGGGCAAAGCCTAAACTGTGACAATTAAAACACTAAAAAGCAGTGTAAGAAATAAAATACAGTAGTAAAATGCAGAAATTGATTAATATCCTTGAATCTGGTTCAATTAAAGGCAGCAGCAAACAGAAAGTCTTCAGTCTGGATTTAAAGGAGCTGAGGGTCTCAGCAGACCTGCAGCTTTCTGGGACTTTGTTCCAAACCATTCAGTGCTTTATAAACCAACAGCAGGACTTTAAAGTCAATTCTTTGTTGGACAGGAAGCCAGTGCAAAGACCTCAGAACTGGAGTGATGTGATCCACCCTCCTGGTCTTAGTGAGGACTCGAGCTGCAGCGTTCTGAATCAGCTGCAGCTTTCTGACTGACTTTTTAAAGAGACCTGTAAACACACCGTTACAGTAGTCCAGTCTGCTGAAGATAAATGCATGGACAAGTTTATCCAAATCCTGTTGAGACATAAGTCCTCTAATCCTTGATGTATTCTTCAGGTGATAGGGGGCTGATTATGTAATAGTCTTGATGGCTGTTCAGGTCGAGGTCTGAATCCATAACTACACCTAGATTTCTGGCTTGGTTTGTGGTTTTTAACATCAGTGATTGAAGCTGAGCGCTGACTTTCAATCATTTGTCCTTGGTACCAAAACAATTACTTCTGTTGTATCTTTGTTTAATTAAAAAAAGTTTTGGCACATCCAGTTGTTGATTTGTTCAATGCAGTTACCCAGCCCTTGTATGGGATTATAGTCCCCTGGTGACATAGTTATGTAGATTTGTGTGTCGTCTGCATAATTATGATAACACACTTTGTTGTTTTCCATAATCTGAGCTAGTGGAAGCATATAGATGTTGAACAGAAGAGGCCCCAGTATTGAACCTTGGGGAACACCACATGTCATTTTAGTCAGCTCTGATGTGTAATTAGCTACAGACACAAAGTATTCTCTGTCCTTCAAGTAGGATTCAAACCAGTTAAGTGCTGTGCCAGAGAGTCCCACAAAGATTTTTAGTCTTTCTAGTAGTATGTCATGGTCGACCGTGTTAAATGCAGCACTGAGATCTAGTAATACTAAGACTGAACTTCTGCCATTGTCTGTGTTTAAGTGGATGTCGTTGAAAACCTTAACAAGAGCAGTTTCAGTACTGTGGTGCTGTCGAAAGCCTGACTGGAAGACATCAAAACAGTTATTTATGGCCAAGAAGTTGTTCAGCTGTTGAAAAAACCCTTTTTCAATTATTTTACTTAACAATGGGAGGTTTGATATTCAATATATTTGATATTCAATCATTGTTCATTGTTGCGGAGTCTAAACTAGCCTTCTTTAGGAGCGGTTTAATAACTGCAGTTTTTAGGGCTTGTGGGAAGACACCTGAAAGAAGGGATGTGTTTACAATTTGTAAAAGATCAGTGGTCATGCAGTTTGAAATATTTTTGAAAAAGTGTGTTGATAGAATATCCAAGCAGCAGGAGGATGACTTCAGATGTATAATGTCTTCTAGGCTTCTAAGGTCGATTGAATGAAATTGTGTCATGATATTTGAATGGATGTTATTCAAAGATCGGGACAACACATATACTGTGGTTGGTGTGGAGGCACTGACTGCTTGTCTAATTTTCTGAATTTTCTGATGTTCAGTAAAAAAGGAGGCAAATTGATTGCATGCCCAGGTGGATTGGAGCTCAGCAGCTACTGACACTGAAGGATTTGTTAGCCTATAAGGCGTGTGTATTGTTATTGTTTTTGGTTATGATGTCAGAGAAGAAGGACTGCCTTGACTTTGCTTACCTGAGACAACCTTCACTTTAGTGGGTGCAATGGCATCAACAACATTTTTAACTTTAGAATTGAAGCTATCTACAAGCTCATTGGCTGAGATGCAAGAGAGGGCTGGTGTGGAGGAGAACTTCTGAATAAATAGTTCACTGGTGTTTTCAGAGAGGTAACGCTTCGTCACAACCTCGGTTTGGATATTTGTGTGCAAGGAGATTGCACTCTCAAAGAAAACACAGAAATGATTAGAGAGTGCAACATCAGTCACAGTAACCTTGGAAATGTTTACACCTTTAGTGATGATTAGGTCCAGAGTGTGGCCCCTGTTGTGGGTGGGTCCTGTCACATGCTGAGTCAGATCACAGTTATCAAGGACACCACATAGTTCTATAGATCAGTTCTATGGATCAGGTTGATACCTGCACAGAATGACCCGGAGTAACTGGTGAGATTCGAAGGCAGGGAATGAAGATGCTTTCTCTGCTGAGAAACTGGGCGTCGGCGTACTCCTACAAAAGAGACTGGAAAAAGGTAACCTGGACATTTGCTAATTGCGTCGGTTCGTAATGAAAACACACAGACACTGGGCTGATGTAGAGCGCATGTAACAGCAATCTCAACGTCATGAAGGGGTGCGTAACAGCAGCATGAACGTACTGAAGGTAGAGAGATAATCATATTTAAAAGAGACAGCAGCAAGATGTTAGGCTAACCATGTCATTGTTTCATTGTGCTATTGAATAGAAGAGACCAGCTGATCTAAACAGCTGATATCATGATTGACAGCCTCGAACAATGACTGCAGGGAAATGCGTGAGCTTGCGTGAGGAGTGACTGGCAGATGTATGAGAAATAAACTACGGCCCTAAGCATGCAAGAGTATAGTCTTCCTGACTGAACTCATGCTAAAGCTTTATTTAAATGGATCAACATGAAATTTGGTACACATTCATGTTTCCCTCTGGATAAATTATCACATTGCTGACTGACGTGTCCCCTAGTTCCAAAAGCAGGTCCAAATATCTTTCTTCAAATGCTGTGCTTTAAGACTTAGGGCTGATCACCGATTACAAAAAAAGCAACAACACTTGAAGTGAAAGCATCCCACAGCAGACATCACTGTCCTGTTTCCGTTTTGTCCCCACCAAAGCATGATACGTTAGTATTATCAACACGCAGAACGTTTTTCTTTTAAATTCACTTAAAACTGATTTTCTAAATGTTTGTTCATCACACCCGTGTTGAAAATATCTGCACCACTGCTGTTATGGGAAGGAAACGTTACACTGTACATCACCAACGTGATTCGGACATTTTTATATTTTCTGTTTACTTTAACTGCCACCTGTAAATCAGGCTCAAGTCAAGGCTCTGTCCTATCAGATTCTGGAATGCCAACAATGGATTCCAATGCAATTGCCCCAATCAGTGGATTTGCTTACGGAAACTAAGAACATTTAGTACTTTCACAAAGTTCAGTTGTGTTGAGCTGTTAACTAGTTACAAAACACTGACTGTGCTGTAATGCAACAGAGAACCTGAGAGTACAATGTGGGGGAAGCTTTTTTGCACCATCCCATTAAATATAGCCTGACTCTGAACAAAACTAGCACCAATCAACGGAAGCCTCTTCAAAAGCCAATAGGTCACCAAGCTTGAAGCTCCACTTTTGTTTACAGGGTGGACTGGATTTCGCTGTGCCTTTTTCTGGTTCGAACAAGTACTGAGTTTGCAGCATCCAAATATTCTAGATCCAAACATGCTTGGTGTGAACACACCCTTTCTTTGCTGCAATTCTTACCAGATGGTGTTGGTTTCAGTGTTTTGTGCTCAGCTGTGTCCCTTGAATGCTCATTTTTATTGTTCTTTAGTGACAAAAAGTCAAAACATGTTGAGTAGTATTGGTAGTAGTACAGAGCAATACTGCCACAGAAATGCAGATAATCATCTTGGAATGGCCTGACATTATGCATTTCTGTGTTAGCTTTGATTTGAGAGACACTGGCCTTTAACATAAGGCATTATTTTATCTTTCTAACACTATATTCAGTCTCTGGTGTATGGAGCAACTCTCAGCTGCAGAGAGCAGATGTTTGCATGAATTAAATATTTGTCGAGTCTGAAGTACAACAGTGTGCTACCAACTGCAAAGACATTTTTCTGTCACTGCTTAACAAAAATGCAATAAAAAGCCCAAAACCTGAAATACTCTACATATCATAGACATGCTTTATATTATTATTCACAAGCACCACTACCATCGACAATTAACAGTGGAAACCTCCAGATTCTTGTTGCATGTATCATCTATAGAGCGGAAGAATGAGAATAGGAAATAGCTTCTGCGTGCAGCTACAGTAGAGAAAGAGAGACACCATCACAGAGTTATGGCAGACCTCCTGCTGCGGGTGTACATAATTAATGTACCAGAACCCTTAAAAAATACACTGTGTTCAGGTTTAAAGACACACTGGTGTCATTTGGAAAACTGCAGTTAACAGTTTTTGGTAATGTAGCAGACAGACCATAATGAGCTCAGTCCTAGGTCAGGACTTCTTAGGGATCAAAAAATCAATAGGTTTGTCTTGTTCCTGGATAGATGCCACTGTGGGCAATACAAGCTGAAAACAACTCCAAGAATATATGCACAACACACAATTTTAAGATACAACATTTTATTATTGTCAGTCTTAAATATGAGCACACACTTTTCATCAAGAAAATACATATGAACCAACAATCCTTTACAATGCAGGGAGTCAAATAGCATGAGGTCCCCCTCCACTTGGAAACAATCCAATCTGAAGGGAGCCCTGTGAACTTGTAACCAGGCAAAGGGCAGAATCTTCTGTTTGTGAATCATTCAAAATAAACCCCAACAGATCATGAGACTACTTCATGGGTCTGCTATGATAATCCCCCTGGCAGCTGAAGCAAAGGTTGGATTGCTCATGTCTAACCAAAGTTCACATCCAAAAATGATTTCTTCCAGACTCCAATGCAAAACACACAAATGTCACAAAACACCTAAAATGAATAGTACTATCTGATAGGTGCAATACAAGTCACTTTTCTTAACTGGTATCAAATATTCTTCAGAGACTGCTCTCTTGCCTTGCACATATGGAGATGAAGAAAAACTCTCCAGCCATAGCTGTGCCCAAGCCAACATGGGCCAGGTTGGAGCATGGGAGAGAGAGAATGAGTCCTGCAATCCTGCAGTCTTTAAACAGACAATGGAATTGGTCATATCACCATACGTATGCAGCGCTACTACCAAAATATAAGCCTTCATGGCCTGTGATTCAGAATTGGCTGACTGGAGTCAGAACAGGAGAAGTTAAGTTTATTCAGGCCTTCTTAGTGCAGTTTCCTAGCTGAACTTTGGGGTTGGATCAGAAATATGTCCGAGATCCTCTTCCTTTGCTTGGTCTTATCATTATAAGTTTGGCTTGAACGGGGCTTGCAGTGTGTATATCTTTTTCAAAAAAGTCATGCTTGGTGGGAGTTTGGAGCGTTTGCTCTAATAAGAAAGCACAGACTTGTTTTAATGCCAGTCAGAAAGAAACTGCAGTACGCCTGCTGACAAAGAGAGAGACGGTAAATTATTTTATTAAGTTGCTCATTTCTCATAGAAACAGGTACATCAACACTTTCTGTGCTCAGTTTGCCTGACAGTGATGCATGTCATATGTAGCTGTGGGAAGCATACAGCACAGGGAGAAACAATGTCAGTTTTAACTTTATATTATTCTAACAATTAAAATCATCACACTTTGTGAGACTTATAGAATGGAGGACGAGTCCAGCTAACAGGGAGCTTATTAGAGTTTTCTCAACTATATGAGCCATAACATGGCAAATAGCTGTGTTACGCAACACAAAACTTCCCACTGTCTCACTAACTGAAATGTGATTGTGTTTGTTTAACTGCTCTGCAAGCCAGCTCGTCTAACCTTGAGGCTGCCAGTGCCCATAATGCAGAGAGCACACTGGTGCAAAGTAATGCGAAAGGCCTCAGGTCAGAAGAGAATCCAAGTGAAGCCTGTAAAGAAGCAGCCCGCAAAGGTTTTCTCCACACGCCTTCTGTTGTTACACGTTTAGAACAGCAGGGATTTGAGATCAAGGAAATGAAGATGGTACTTTTCTGTTAGCTGCATGTGGCCAAGGCCAAAACCTTAGGAATAGGATCTAGCGGGATTTCCAGCCGTGATCTGACAGGTTTGCCGACTGTTTTCCATCTCCTCTGAAAAGGCAGAATACCTCATCCTCAGATCAGAGACCAGACTGCTCTTTGGCTCGATGTGGCTTCTTGGGCTCAGTGCTTCATTGTGACCGCATATCTCATCAGAGCTCAAAAACAATATGCTTGTTTGACATTGAGAACTGCCGGGGTTCCTCTTAATGATTATCTTAAGTCAGAATATTAACATGCTGACTTTTGGTTGGTAGTCTGTGATTCTCAGTACTCTCAATCGCTGCCATAATAACCATATGGCATTGCTATTATTAGGTTGATTATTAAATGAAGTCAGTTAAACAGCAACCTCCTTACCGCTGGTTACATGTGAGGAAAAACCCATTCATTCTCATTTCATCTAGAGATATATTTTGACAGCAGCCCTGCTGGTTTATACTAATCTGCTCTAAAGGTACGCGCTCACATGGGTTTGTCCTCAGTGTGCTTGGCTCGAGAAATTATACTGTATTTGATATGTCATCAAAAAACAATATGACAGATATTAAGGACAAAGCAATGGAATGCAGTTGTCTGCATTGTCCTTTCATAAACCTGTGGAGTGCTGTGATGCTCCTGGAGAAACTATACTGACAGTACAGCGGTGTGGTGTTAGCGAGGGTGTGAACATTACAGCCCACTCAAATACACACCCGTGAACACATGTAAATAAATAGTACTTTTAAGTGGTGATCGCGGCGTAGTTAAATAATTGGGCAACTTGCTGAGCAACTGCTCAGAGGTAGTAAAAAGATAAAAATCAATGAGCAGTTTTTACGTGTGCTTGGCTGTCCTACAAAAGAAATAAACAAGAAACTGTCTTACTTCAGTAAAATGTGTGTGTGTGTGTGAGAGAGAGAAGAAATGAGGTGTGTGTGTTTGTTAAGTGATATTTCCAGGCGGACTATTAAGCGAGGTGTTCAGGACATTTGGCTCCCTTTCCAACCATTCAAGGGAACTCAAAGCAGCGAGACTGTGATTGCTTGTGCATATTGACAGCAACCACTTCATGCAAACTCCTCTGAAGGGACCCCAATGTGGGGAGGTGATCTGACTTCAGTTCATCTTAAATATGGTTAATCTTGTGGCAATACAGACGTGGGATCAGTGGTGCCATCCTTCCAGCCGGGAGGAATAATTACCATGTCATTTCCAAACATCACTGTGCTGGTGATGAATAATAGTCTCCCTCCCTCTCCATCTCATTGTCTTGTGTGTGAAAACAAAGCGTGATTAGCCCGTCAGATTCAACTGATGATTACTCTGATCAATTTCAATAATGCTCCAATCTGTTTCATGCCGTTTTGATTTGGCTCATTTTGACATTGAGAAGCACAAACCTTGTTGTCCCCAAGACCCACGATGAGGCTAAATGAGTTAAAAAGACAAATTGAAGTGTGTGCATGTGGATGAAAGACTACAAGCCCACCAGAGCTGAGGCAAGCCAGGGAAAGAGGGAGGAAAAGGTGAGTGTGAACAGAGCAGAGATCATTGGTTCTGCCGCGTGTTCATTTAAAAATAACCACATGTGAAAACACTCAATCGGAGCCGAGGGATAATAAGAAGCGCATCATTGTCCCGCCACTAAACAGACACACACTAATTTGATGTAATTCGCTGTTCCTGTTTGATGTTGTGTTAATGGAATCCTGCAAATCCTCTAGTGCTGCACACAGTCCGATGCTGTGCAGTGCAGCCGGTAGACGTTTGTGTTTGTACGTTCACAAACACAAACGGGCATGATGTCTAAAAAAAAACCTTCCACATTGTAAAAAAAAAACCAGTAGCCTTTACAACAAAATCCTACGTTTTTGTTACTGTCACTCAACTCTTCTTCGCTGCCGGGGTGAACCTGAGTGTGGCAGTTGGTGTAAATTGTTTGCCAACACAAGAGACTTGAAAAAGACAAATCACCGGCTTTTAATTCTTGCCGGTGTGTTGTGAGAGGTTTCTGATTGTTGCATAAAATCCTCACGCTCACAACTAAATAACGGAGGTTCGTCCTGTTCGCTGCAGATCCTCTGTGTGTACTGATCCTCCATGATAAAACACAGGTATGATTTCTTTGTTTTCTAACATATCCTCTCCTCTCTGACAACGCCAGCCGCATATGAAGCGATTAGAGCAGGTGTAGTATTTTTACTCGGACCTCCGATCACTGTCGGTTATTGCAATCGGCTCGCATTCTGTACAGTAAGCCTGCAATTCTTTTCTTTTCAATAAGAGCTGGAATGTCATGTTCAGAATGAGCATCTCACAGTCATAAACCACATACTGTACATTTTGGTTCAAAGGTGTGTTATTTTAGATTTCCCAATGACTCAATGTTAAACCCATATTAAAACATGTTTACCCTCTTTGTGTATGGAAACGGTGTCCATGTGTTAGGACTAGAAACAGAAATCCAATGAAGCGTGGTGCTGTGTGAGCTGCTAGTCTTTGGGTTATTGGTGTCTAAACACATGCAAAGGGTGTTTATTTCTATTAACATGATGTGACTGAGTGGCCTCTGAGCCTCCAGTGCTGCTTTGCAACATGAACAGAAACATTTCCTCAAATAACTGTGTTGTGTAGAAACGGCATGATGTTCAAACAAGTAGCAACAGCATTAATACATTTGCATTACTTAAGTCAGACGTCGACTCCACACAAGTGGAGCCGACTCTCCCTCCATTTTTAACTACATAATTATAACGTAAGTATTCTTGACACCATTTTTGTGTTCAGAAAAAAAAATACATAAAACTAAGATATTTGTCCTAAATAATTACAACTTCATATTTTCCCTTCTCAAAAATATTTAAAACTAAATATAACTGAAAAAAATAGAATTAAAAGATTAGCATAACACATCAAAAATGATTCTGTTTCAACAACCAGACGGAATGATAATCATTACACATTCAAATATGACAATAGCAGGCTTTCAGCCTCAGGGAAACCTACATCCTCCTGCTTCACTGTCTCGCTTTGACTTTCAGGTGTTTAACATTCACCTCTCATACCTATTGTACATTTGCCTTTTCCTGGAGTTGAGATGAATATGCAATGCGGTTCAAAAATGAAGACAAATCAATTTGAATAAGAGACACCACAATTAAAAAATCTTTTTTTCTCTCAGACATACTATGAGTAAAAAAGAGATAATCCAGACTAATATAATTTAGAGAGAACATTTCCAACATAATTCAATTTCTGTGAAGCATTTGTTACATCATTGAAATCTAAAAACAAAACAAAAAAAACAACAGAAACCTTTTAAGTACTTATTTAGTGGGTCAACATCATTATGTAGCAGGATACTTCATGCACTCACTGTGCACCAGTTTATGGTTCCGGTTGAAAAAACAAAACACACACACTCGCGCGCGCACACACACACACACACACACACAGACACAAAATACTTGTGTTCAAATCCATTCCTCTTCAAATTCTGAGCAGGAACAGCAGAAACACTAAGAAGAGGAGACAGGTGTGTGAGTGCACTCCCATCGCGCCGCCGCTACCATCCTGAACTGCTCTCGGTCCTGACAGGAAAAGAAAAGCAAAACACTTGGGTAAGTTTCACCATTGAAGTTGTTTTTTCCTCTTTGTGTGATCACTACTGGAGGTAAGTTATTAAATGAACTTCCTATCTTCCAGCAGGAGTCTAAAGGGGAATACTGTGACTTTAGCAGCGCACATCTGTAGTTCTGTTTGTGAAAACACCGTATTATTAAAGTGTATCTGTAGTTTCTACATGCAAACCAGCGTACATAATTAGTGATTATAGTTATCACAGTCATTTCTGTGTATTGTTTACTGGGGAATGGGAGGTATGGATTACAAGGTTTTATTAGTCACATGACATTAACGTGGAGATTATGTTTCTGAGACTTTGAGAGACTCTAAGGACTTGAAGTACCTCTGTGGATTGGGATTCACATACAATTTGCCACAGCAAATACATTTATAGAGAAACATAATGAGATCTGAATTTTTACTTCATATTTTTTACAGTAATATATAGGAAACATTTTTTATGAATATACCTGCAAGTTGCACAATGTTTAAACTGAATGTATCTGCAGCATCTCACTTGTACTATCACAACACTGCCTGTGTTGATGTTAATGAATGTTGTAAATGACACTCACTGCAGGCACAAAATGTCCTCACTTTATACTTTTATTTATCTATTTTAATAAACCTTTATGTGAAATGGTCTTATCAAGCATATCTAGAGTCATGGCCATCAATGTGTTTTGAGAGGTCATAGTGAACTTTGACCTTTGACCATCACATTCTAATCAGTTCATCGTTCATTTGTGTCAAATTTGAAGAAAGTCGTTCCTGGTTCACAAAAATGAACCAGACGGATGTATGGACGAATGGACTGACCGACAACTAGAAAACATAATGCCTCCACCGATGGCTATCTCCGCCACTGAGGAATGAAACACATTGAATTTGAGAGGAGGGAACCAGAAGCACAAAGCTGCTTATTTATGTCCCTGTTTGAGGATTCATTCCTGCAGCACTCCTAAGAGAAAGAGACACTACATCAGTGGCATGGAGAACCTCAAGGTTCTATCTCTGTCCCCAACATATATTATTGATGTCATTATCAGCTTGCAATGATTCTCATATGCAGACAACATTCCTAGAATCTCTATTTATTTCCTAAATAGAAATGGTATGCATATCAACCGTATTGTATTGGTCGGTTCTCTCTTGCTAAAGTACAGACATGTGTAATACCTTCAGTATATAATCAAGAAGTATTATGTCGTGAATACTTGTTTTCTTCAACAGAAATGGCTGAATATGGATTCATAATTATTTGGATGATAAAGGGGGAAGGAAGCAGGAGACCAGAGAAAGGAATCAGTCATTTTCCGGAAGCATACATGAACATTTAAAATGACAATGATACAGTAAAGCTTCCATTAGTGAGGCAGAAGGTGAGCTATTTAGTGCTGCTGCTAGCACTCACTTCTGAGTGGGATGATGAGAATGGCATGGTCTGCAGCATCCAGTGCAGCACGAAGGATTAACACTGACCATTGCTCAGCATCTATTGCTTAAAGAAGGTCATTCTATCTAAAAGGGCATTCTTAGTTCTGAGAACTGCTTGTAATAACACACAGGATTTAGTTAAAATGATGCTTTCACTTCCAGCTTTGCTTTGGTCAGTTGTAACTGGCAGCAGAATTAATATGAATCAATATTAATGAGTTGGTTGAGATTAGCATTAAATCTGACTACAGTAAAATATATGAAATATAGAATATATAGTGTAAACTATGTGAAGAACAGCACTTGTAAGTGTATTTTTCAGCAGGTTTCCATTCCGACCAACTGAGAATCACTTTAGAACGATAAATGAAACTATAAAGACCAATAGATCATTTTTGGTTCCTCATTTCTAATAAAAGTGGTCCATCTGATTCTTATTCATCAGGCTACAACAGAAACAATATATAATGGGGATTATAGATTATTTATTTTATTGGCCTTCGATTTATTAAAAAGGTAATCTTTTGAGTAATTTATAATAAAATGTTTATGTATTATTCTAGTATTACAGTGTTTGCACAGCTAAAAAAAAAGACAATTTCACAATGATAAAAACTATAACACATAATAGTTTCATCATGCTGTTTTCAGGGATGAGGCAAGTTCCATCCAAAAAGATGCATTGTATGAGGATTGAGGACACATTTGAACTTTTTTCTTTGAAGCTTGGAACACAATGACTACTCATTTCCCTTGGATTTCCATGAGTTCACCACAGTTTCCTTTGGGGCATCTATCCAATTACCCTGCCACAGTGGATTATCCGTAATCCTGCATATGGCTAATTACAATAATGACGTTCACTCGTAGTCAAAATCAAAGCCATTAATACAATTATGTTGTGTTAATGGAGTGGTTCTGCTGACAAGATGCTGCAACCACCAGTCACAAGGACACATTAAATGACATGATGGGCGAGGTGTTTATCGCCACGGCTCCACATGCTTGTTCTAAAAACACACAGGGCTCATCTACACCAGATAGCTTCAATCTGCTATCACTGTTCGGCAGATATAAGGAACGTTTAGCTCGCAGTAAGGTTCTACAACTTTCTGTGTTTGTTTTTCACAATTTTCTGTGTTGGACGTACAGTTGAAAAGCAATAACTGAAGGCAAAAGCACTCTCACAAGCACAAACGATGATAATGAAAAATGAGGAATACTTACATTGGAAAGAAGAGCATGCAAAAATGAAAATGAAGCCGTGTCACACAGTGAGGCGGTTAGGGTTGCAAAGGAGAAGATGAAACATGGTTAGCAAAATGGGTTGTGATGGCCAATTTCACAAAAGTTCATGTGACATTCGTATGGTGGTTTGCTTTACAAAGAGCAATGACAAACAGCTCAATGATCAAAGAGCCCAGAATGGATTTGTCTCTTCATGTCAGACACTGCGTATACCAGTGACAGTGCAGCCTGACTTCCAGTTTGGGAAAATGGCGGTTGGTCATGTGCCAGCATGCAGTTAATACTTTCCATCCACAACAGTTGAAGCACATGCTGGTGCAGAATACTAACCTTGCAATAGCGTTGAGCTAGTGGGTTCAATTACGACTACACCAGGGAAAGAAATGGAACAGAGCAACATATTGGAAACAGAGCAGCAACAAATCATTGACAGCACTTGTGAAAAGCATGAAACGTATGCTGCTGAATAGACTTTTAACATTGTGGCTGCACAGTGGCATACTTGAGTGTTCAAACTGGTAATAGTGCCAAAATAGCGGCTGAATTCAAGTTCAAAGCTGAAACACTACAGTATTTTAACGCTGACAGTCACTCAGTGTTGATGAAGTTGTGATGACACATTTGCTGATACAGTGTACACACACTGAGGGGCTTCTTAGTCCACTAACCCAAAGAAGCCCCTTTTCTGACGGAGATGTGTTGTACTTTAATGCTCCTCACTATATTTGCAGGATATTTGGCACCTGGTGTGTGAGAGAGATCACTATTGTCACTGACTGAATCCTTTAAGTAGTGCATCTCTTCATTGGATAGTGAGAGCAGGATGTCAGCTGGCTGAGCTAGAGAAGGACTCTCATGCTCTACAGGACCGAAGAGGTGGAGGCCTGACAACGTTTTAGGTGTAGTAGAATTAATATGGAACAGTATCAAGTTATCTTAATACATTAATGGTCTGAACTAAATGAAGTGAAATCTTATCTTTCGTCTTTCAGCGTTGTATATTTACTCCAAACAATCTGTGGCTGCCTGCACATAAATGCATTACTTTCTTTTTGAGTCATAAATAGGGAAATATTTATGTGCATATAACAGTAAATGTAACAGCTTTGGATAAAAAGAAAAGGATAAAGGTTGAATTAAACTGATAGAAGCTAAATGACGTAACGTACAGAAAAAAGTTGTGAACTATTAATATTATTACTTTTATTAAAACATACACTTAACAGATAAACTACAGCATTTTAGTTATACTTCCCTCTCTGTAGTACTATAGATGTACCATATTCCTGTACTCACCATACATAAGGAAGCTTGTGTTAGAGCTCCCAAGTTTGTTGAGTGCGACACAAGTGTAGTTCCCGTAATCTCCGTCGGACACATTAAAAAATGTCAGCTTCGACAGAGATCCAGAATTCATAATCTCCATGCCATCGAGGCCATTGAGGATCCTAGATGTGAGAAAGTACACAGTGAGTGCAACGTGAAATGTGAAGTCACTTGCCCAATTACCAATGGGCCTGAGTGCAATAATAATAGTAATTTAATTAATGACTAGGACCAATTTGCAGTAATCTTTATGGCTGTATGACTGAAAGCTGATCAATGACCATCAATAACTGTGAAAACTGACAAACACGCATGCACACACACACACACACACACACACACATACACACATACACACTTCTTCCATTTGCCTCACCTAAAATTCTAATGTAAAACTAATTACCTTCTGTCATCTTTGAACCACTCAAAGTCTGCCTCAGGCACGGCATCAGCCTCACACTCCAGCTCTCCTCTCTGGCCCAGAGTCACTCCGATATCTCTGCCCTCCGATACAGCTGGAGCATCTATGAGCAACAACATGAGAGCACTGAGATCAGGACGAGTCAAGGTTATCAGGAAACGGGTTGATGGCCTTCTCTCCTCTAAGCCATGATGATCTACAGCATGACCACGAGTGAACAGGAAGTAGGAGTTCAAATCATGTACGGTATTTCTTACACTGGTGAGATGGAATTAACTGTTCAGGGTTTCATTTGTTACAATCCATCCTGTGTCTCCTGCAGCAGAGAAGCAAAATGATCTAATAGATTTTATTGTAGCTGTTTGAGCAAAATGTGGACTTCGGTCCAGTCGTGGATCCCAAATACTCCCCTTTTGTTCTGGGCTTTGTGTACCTCGGTAAACAATGGTGACTATGCGGCCATGTCGTAACTCTCAATTAATCTACTGATTATTTTCTTGATTTAATGATTAATGGCTTCAACAATAACATTATAGAAAATAGTTTCAATTAGATCGGGACTTTCGGGATGTCATGTCCTCGAAATGTCTTGTTTTTTATCGAAAAAGAGATTTTCAGTTTTCTATCAAATTAGCCAAATCAAGTAGCACATTATTATCATTGATTAATAGTAATTAATGTAGTTGACATTTTTGCTTGAAAAGTACGAGTCAAATGATAAATTGATTACCAACATTGCTGCAAATACATTTTCTGTCTATCAACTAATTGATTAATCAAGTAATAGTTTTAGCCCTGCTATATAATATTAGATATAAACCTTTAAAATCACACTGTTATAATCAGCAGCACTTGAAATAAAAGCGGCTCAAATACTAATAACCTCATACTTCTTCATGACTCCAGAAAGTACATTTGATTTACGGCAGCAATACTTCCAATTGGAACACAAACGGTGCAGCAGATAATGCCAAACTGAAGCAAGCCTTCTCTCGGTCCACTACAATTTAGAAAATGGTTCAACACAGGACCATAAATAAATTGAGTCAATGATAAGACATTTTGTTTGAAGCTGCAATACTTAAATTCTAAAATTTAAATCAGCAGATTATGATAATAATAATAATGATATGAGACAAAGAAAAGCAGCAAAGGCTCATATTTGAGAAACTTCAACCTGAAAATATTCAGCACTTTTTTTCTTCATAAGTTATTTACGTGATTTTATGATTGTATATTATTTTTCTGCCAAAAGACTCGTTGATAAATTGACTAATTGTTTCAACATTGTTAATTCAATTTAATACAAAATGTTTAAATTCTTTAGCGAAGCAGTGGACTCACAGTTGACGGTGATGTCGACGGTCTGGACGTCTGTGTCAATATCGTTGACGGCTGTGCATTCATACGTCCCTGCTCTCTGTCTGGAGATAGATGGGATTTCCAGGTACTCATCCTCTGATGCCAGGTCTCCTATGAAAGGGGAAGGAAGTGGAGATGGAGATTCAAAATGATTGTGAGAAGCTGTGGCCTCGATTTTCACACTCTGTGTCTTTGAGTGGCCTCCGGATAGTCATTGTCATTCTGGTTTTGGAAAAAAACGAGAATCTATTTTGGTATTTACAACACAAAGAGAGCAGTTCAGTTCTAATTCCAACACAGAAATCAAAGCTCTAAGTTCAGAGGCAACAGCAGGAGCGCCGACAGGTCCTGTTAATTCTTGTAGCACCCTGATCTAATGTGACAGCAAAATTCACACAGCTACATGTGTGTCAAAACTTACACCAGTAAAAGTCATGACGTGTGCCCAATTCTGTCTCTGCCGCTTCTCCGCTGTTCCTTTCAACACCACATCTTGAGCTTACTGACATATTTCTGAAGAAGGTACAACACTTGGTGATTAGTGCTTTGTTCAGGCCCAACTCATCATCAATTGTCTCTCAGAACTTTCATGTTCGGCTCCTTTTTGTGTCTCTCACGCCTTGGAGCACACCGGCACTGTGTGACAATATGAACGAATGCCAGCCCCGTTACTTTTTTCTAGTATCAATTTCACACGCTTGACAGAGACACTTAATACAGCGCTCAATGTAAAGAACAAAAGACGTAACGGTCTTCAAGCCTCCTCCCAGGACGTAGGCAGGTGACAGTAATACATTGCACATGGATTCACTTTGCTGGGTTGAGGCACATTACTGAATTACACCTGGGAAGGTTGTTATAGAGGGAAGTTCTCACCGGCACGCTGATCACCTGACGAGGAGTACCGGGAGGACTCATGTTCACTCCACGCTGTTCCTTTTCTGCTTTCCCTCAAACGAGGATTCTACATTGTGCCATCAGAGACCGCAGTGTCAGTTAAAGCCACACGGTAAAATCCTCTGAGGAGAGTTAATCAAGACAAGGCTGCAGCTGACGCACACTCTCCAAGTCCACACATCGAGCGACACTTTTACGGCAGGTGGTTTCACATCAACAGCTGTCCTTCAGACTGGCACATGAAATCAATGTTTCTCTAAGAAATACATTCACACAAAAAAATGGCAATCATAGCTGTAACAATGCTACATGTTTCTTCCCACATGCCTGCTATAAGTTGGATGTTAATGAATTGTCTCTTAATAAATATGAAAACTAAATTAATGTTTTTTGGAGTTTTTTAGGGGTTCATTTTGATTGTAACTTAACATGGAGACAACACATTCACTATATTAATGGTAAAATGTCAGTCAATAGCAATCCTGTCAACATGTTTTAAATTATAAGCCCACTTATACTTTCTTACATATCTTATTGTGTGGAGGTGTGGGAATCAACCTTTAGAATAATTGTTTATAAAGCAATTTTGGGGGTTACAAGTGTGAATTACATATATTTTTGTTCTTTTTTATATTTTATTTTCTTAAGGGTAGCTTAAATTGATAAGATTGTAGGATAGGCATATATCATTATTATGCTCCTCTTGTACCTTTTCAGTCATATTGTAGATTGTATACATGCTACACTTATTGTATTGTGTGTGTGATGGCTTGATAAAAATACTACTAGTATTAATAGTAACATTGTGCCTGTTATGAGTGGTTGCTTTAAAATAATCATTGCTAATGTTCAAAGCCTTGTTTTAAACCAGTTTATTGTAATAGAAGCACAGCTCCTCGCACGAACTAAAGAATATCACTGTTCACCTTTAAAGTTTGGAGGAAAACAGGCAGAGCAGCTAGATTAGACAGCGAAGGCCATGTGTTCAATGGGCAAGGTGGTTATTTAAACTGTCATCTACTAACTGAATTGATAAAGAGGAAAGATATTGTACATTAGCTTTGCAGTAACTAATAAAACAGCAAAAAAGAAAACCCTGGGAATTTGTAAAGCTGCAAAAAGTAGACAAACAGCTTAATCAATCATGTTCAGGTGGGATGAGACGTTCATTGTGCATCTGGTTTCAGGGTATCAAAAAACTTGCTAATGTTAGCTAAGATCTGAGACAAACATCTTACAAATACAAAATATGTCTATATTTTCTTCATCCATTTTATTAGCAAAGAACAATGTAAAAACATTCAGGTAGAAGGCTTCTCATATCTGGAACGGTCAGATTTTGCCAGGAGAAACAGTAACGATTAGATATGGTTAATTAACACTGACTTGGTGAGAAACTTCCCAGAAGGCCCAAATTAAACTCCACAAAAAAAGACCGTTTGTTGAAGAAAGAAACTCTGCACTTGCTGTAGGACTCAGAGCAGTTTCCTCTTGTGAAATAAGCTAGCTAATCATGTCACTATGATTTCAGTTGTATCTCTCAGCTAAACATCATGCATATCATAGCAATGTGTTTATTTGTTTTAACAGTTCAAACCTCCTGTGGTCCATCTCATTTTTAGGTTGTGTCATTCTGAAGAGTTTTGCCCTATGAGCCAACAAACAGTAATCACTGTAATCTTTGAAGCACTGAGTTATGTATGTATAACTGTGGTTACATACAAATATGGAAAGCGTTACTTAACTTGATTGCATGAGGGAATTAGGATGAAGATTTGATGCTTTAATGTCGACTACCAAACATTTACATTTGAAGTCAATCTTCAAACAAATTAATTGCAAGAAAGTATATCAAGAGTACTATTGACAACTATACATTGGCTGTATACTCAGCACTCTTCTCACATGTATTTTCAAACCAGTAAATATATTGGCCTCTTTCTCCATTATTATTCCCACATCATGTCACATATATTTTTTCCCTAAGGCCACTCTGTAGTGAATCATGACCTCTGTGTTAAACACCCCCCCTATCATTATCATATTGTTGTCTTTCATTACACACAATGCTCCTCCACCTCCAGCCTCCATGCTCTCGGCTCGCTAAGCATCAGAGGTTGCAATCCTCCAAATCCATCATCTCATTCACATAAAGTTACCTGCACCATCGCTCATTTAAATGTTACATGTTTGCCAAATTATCCTGCATTATAAAAAGTGATAACTAATTATTAGCATGACGGTCCTGGAGCACTTCTGAGCCTCTTCGTTTGACCGCCAGTCACCGAACTGTGCAAGTGAAGCCATTGATAACAACCGACACAATGTGCTAAAAGATGATGTTTCTCTTTATGTGTACCAGAGAGAGAAAAAATGTTGTCTCAGCAGAGACAAAGAGTTCTCAGGACACTTCAGTACCCACTACACAACCCTACCCAGGCTCTGAAAATACACATATACACCCTCATTATATTTCATTTCCATGGGTATGTGTTCACAAAGAACAACATGATTTACAATAGCATGACTACTGGTATTTGACTACTTCTTCAAGTGTCCACCTGAACTCTAGAAGTGAGCTGCCTTTTATAATGTCGCAGTCAGTTTCAAGGGGACTGCTGGGTTTGTGACCAAGTCATTAGTGAGATAGTACTGCCATCAAGGTGACATGGCAGGACATCGGGGAAACCGAGCAGGAGAAGGTGGTGGGGAGAAGAAAGCAAAGAAGAGCCAGGAAGTCTCGGGAGAGGCCCGCAGAAGATAATGTACCCTTTCTGTGTCCCTGAAATGCCAACATCGAACTCAAGGGCAACGAAGAAAATGGGGTAGAAAATGGAAAGAGAGATATTTGTGAGCAGAGCAAGGGGAACAACTTTGAAGGGAGGGGGCAGAACAGGAGAGCAGATGCTTGAGGGATATAGGCATTTAAGGAGCGAGTACAAGGGGATATGGTGAGGCAGGATTTAAAGTGATGAATCCCAGCAATGGGAGGGAAAGAAATAGAAGCAGAATGGCAGACAGAAGAGGACACATAAAACAGAGCAAGAGTGGGAGTGGGGGTGGTGTTATCAGTGTTGTCTAGAGGGAAAGGAAGTCGGAGTGAAATGTGTTGACGGAGAAGGAACAAAAGCTTTTGTTACTCAGACAAACAGTGAGAAAGAACGTTCATTTAAAAGATGTCCGCGAAGACAATGAAAAAGAGCGACCGACTGCTGCTGCTCTGCAGCTCCACTCTTAAACTGTGCCTCTGTTGCTGCTGCCGCTGTGCGAGGTGAATATATAGATAGTTATTTTGTCACTGATTATCAGCCTTTGGCATATGGAATTTCTTAAAATGCCTTTGATGCATCATCCCCTTTGAAGGAAATAAACATAAAAGGGGTGAGCGGAAAAAAAGAATCATAGAAATATAGTAGCTCGGGGTTCCATGTATTACTGAGATGCAATAAGGGAGCTTTACTTCTATTCAAGAGGTTTGCCAGCGAAGATAATCTGTTGTGACAGTACGGTTCAGATTTGACCCGTCAATAGCATACATATTTTTGAGCATACAAAGAAAAATGAAAACCGTGGCTGCTACTAATCTCTCAGGCCACGAGTCCTTTTGTATCTCAGTTAGTCTATAGGAGAAGCAGCTGTGTAAGGGAAGGGTACAGCATGTGAGTTAAAGATATGAAAAATATGTAAGTGATTGTGAAGGATGAGTCACACTTCTGTTTCTGCTTCTGCATGCTAAATTAGGTGAATGTGTGGAGCTGACTCAATAAAAAGAACTGTTGACAATTAGTTGATTCCTACAGTAACAATATAACTATTATTAGTAATGTTATTATTATATTGAAAATTGTATTTGCATGCATTGTATTTTTAAGTAGTAGTGTCTGTCTGCCCAAGGACAGCAGGTGGAAAGTACCTTTCTAAATCCTAAAAACCTTCATCTCAAAGGATTTTGAACAAGAATTTGAACAAAAATATAAAAAATAAATGAATAAAAAACAAATCCTGTTCCCCAAACAATCTACCAGGTTACACAAAATGACCAATCTTAATGATGGAGTTATCATTAATATTAGCAGTACTACCACCATACAGCCCACAGCATGTGCTATATGAAATGATACATTATAATGTCCCCATTAAATCTGTATAAAAGGGTGCAGTAGATATCGGCAGTAGATGTCGGCAGTATTGGGCTACTTTTGAAGTGTTGCCGC